TATCGAATTTGTTTCTTACTTCCCAAAATTATTCCCCTTGCGAGGCTGAATAAATCCCAAAAAAATTCAACTTGATCGGGTAAATAGTTTATGCATAATTCCATTTGTTAACTAAAAACATGTAATTTTCCAACGGAATTTCCCCACTTTTGGACCTGCGAATTTCGTTTTTTTTTCTTGGAGAGTACAGTTAAGAAGTCTAACTTTAATTCCATTTAAATGGGAAATTGATTTTTTTTATTTAAGTTCATAATAATAGACGTTAAAAAAGGGTATGTTTTTTTGACATAAACAAATGGAATAACTCGGCCAATTTTCACTTTATCGATTTCGTGTAAAGGGCATTTGATTTCATTTGTTTTCACAAAACTTTTCCAAAAAAAAAAATCCAATCTAACTTCAAGAGGTGGAGAGTAAACTTTTTTTTAAAAAAAAATTCCTGACAATTTAATCATTAATGTTTTTTATTGAAATTCGCACCACTTACTGTTTGATACATGTATTTTATGTAAAAAAATTAACCATAAGGTTTTGTGCATTTTTTTAAAATTTATAACAAGTAAAAGTAAATGTATCCATTTTTCAACCTCTGAACGGCGGAGTGGGGGTACTCGGAGGAGCGTGATTCTCGCCGCCACAACTGAATTCAGCCGTTCAAATTTGCAAAAATGGTCATAACTTCGTTAATTATTTACCGATTTTTATCTTTCTTTTTTTAATTTGATGTATTTTTTTACGCTGAATTCAAAAATAATTTTATATGTTTTCAAAATACAATATTTTTAATAATAAAAAAGAAAATTTTTTTAACAACAAATTTTTAATTATTTTTTTATCATATTTGACAAAAAATTCTTTTCGTACATATAATTCCATTGAATTTAAAATAATATTATGACATAAAAAAATTAAAATTAATTATATATAAGCTTGTAGCATCAGGTTCACATGTGCACGCCTGTTCAACTATCAATACAACAATGCTACACACTTATAAGTAAATAATTTTAATTTTTTTATATCATACAAATATTATTTTAAATTCAATGAAATTATATGTACGAAAAGAATTTTTTGTCAAATATGATAAATAATAATTAAAAATTTGTTGTTAAAAAATTTTTCTTTTTTATTATTAAAAATATTGTATTTTGAAAACATATAAAATTATTTTTGGATTCAGCGTAAAAAAATACATCAAATTAAAAAAAGAAAGATAAAAATCGGTAAATAATTAACGAAGTTATGACCATTTTTGCAAATTTGAACGGCTGAATTCAGTTGTGGCGGCGAGAATCACGCTCCTCCGAGTACCCCCACTCCGCCGTTCAGAGGTTGAAAAAAGGATATATTTACTTTTACTTGATGTAAATGAAAAATAAGTGCACAAAACCTTATGTTTAATTTTTTTACATAAAATACATGTATCAAACTGTAAGTGGTACGAATTTCAATAAAAAACATTAATAATTAACTTGTCAGGAATTTTTTTTTAAAAAAAAGTTAACTCTCCACCTCTTGAAGTTAGATCGGATTTTTTTTTGGAAAAGTTTTGTGAAAACAAATGAGATCAAATGCCCTTTACACGAAATCGATAAAGTGAAAATTGGCCGAGTTATTCCATTTGTTTATGTCAAAAAACATACCCTTTTTTAACGTCTATTATTATGCACTTAAATAAAAAAATCAATTTCCCATTTAAATGGAATTAAAGTTAGACTTCTTAACTGTACTCTCCAAGAAAAAAAAACGAAATTCGCAGGTCCAAAAGTGGGGAAATTCCGTTGGAAAATTACATGTTTTTAGTTAACAAATGGAATTATGCATAAACTATTTACCCGATCAAGTTGAATTTTTTTGGGATTTATTCAGCCTCGCAAGGGGAATAATTTTGGGAAGTAAGAAACAAATTCGATAATTATTAACAAAGTTATTAAACAATTAAAAACGTGCTATTTTTAATGGTTTAAATTCATTTGCAACTAAACTAATTAAGCTTTTTTAACTTGCGACCAATCATTTGAAAGCTATTTCCAAGCTCTATAACTTTCAATCACAACTTTTTCCCCTAAAATTTAACCGGAAGCAACAGTCATCGAAAAACCTGATGTTTTTCGAACTTTGACGATTGTTTACACCATTTTTCGCAAACGGAAATGTGGTGCAAACTATGGGGCCCTCAAACTACAAGAAACTGCTTCGACTTTTCAGGTTGCACTTATGTGCACTTTTTGTACTCACCGACTGGCCTATGTAAGTATATTTAACAGAATTTCTAGGATAAACTCATTCTTTCATACGGATTCGGAGAAATTTGAAAAATACATACTCGCGGGGTCCAGTGGACCCTGCTTGCCCGCCCAAGGGTTAAAGATGATAAATCAAGAGGTTTTAAATTTTTCCACACCTCCATTTTTAAAATACGGATTACTTTTGCAAATGACCGACAAAATGGGCCCTCTTCATTTTTCGAAAGAACCATAAGGCTTAATATCTATTTTTCTCAGTGTTTCTTCATGTTTTACAATATTCAATATTAATTAAAACTTGCTACTTTCTTACTGTAATTTTTTCAAAAAATATTTTCATCATTACGATTATTCATTTCCAGAATTTTCAACTAAAATTCTTCTTTAGATCAGTTTTTTTTAATAATTTTTAAAAAATTCTTTGAGAATTTTCAAATTCTTTTGTTTACAATTCAATTTTATGAAATTTCGATTATTCTGACATTCTTCAATTAAATATACAGTGGAACCTCGATTATCCGAACCTCTGTTATCCGAACCCTATCTATTATCCGAACCAAAAATCATTTTATCCGAACTTCTGTTATCCGAACTTTTTCTTGACCTTCCGAATCTAAACATTTATTTTCTCTATTTTTTTATCGTACATATTTTCGCGGGACATTTTTAGCATCTTTCAAAGCAAAATAACGAAATTTATGCCAAAAAAATCTTAAAAAATCATGAATTCTCTGTTTTATTAATTTATTATTATAAATTAATATATATTTACAATCATATACAATATACTTAAATATATCTTTAAAAAATGTATTAAATTAAATATATATAGTTCAACTGTCCAATTTGTTTTTTAATTATGAAAATCATTAAAACCTCTATTATCCGAACTTTCGATTATCCGAACCCGGCCTTACCTAGGTTAGTTCGGATAATCGAGGTTCCACTGTATTTGAAATTAAAAACTTTAAATAATTCAATATTCAATTATAATCTAAAATTTTAACTGAAATTCATTTTTAAATCAATATTTATTAGAAAATTCTACGAGAATTCAATTATTTAAATACAAAAATAAATATTTTATTAAATAATTGAATGTTTCTTAATATTAAATTTTCATACAGAATTTTATCAACAAACTTTTAAAATAATTTAATTCTCATGACAAATTCTAATAAAATTTTTAAAAATTATTTCATTTTTCGAGAAAGATGAAAATTGTATTAAAAATAATTGAAATTCTCCCAAGAATTTTATTATAATTTTTGAAAATAATTGAATTTCAAAGAGGAATTTTATTTTTTATAAAGATAATTGAATTTTTGTAAATTTTTTAACATAATTCGATTTTTGCGAAGAATTATAATACTTTTGAAAATAATTGAATTCTTGATACGAATTCTATTAAAATTTCTTTTTAAATAATTGAAATCTTTTATGAAATTTTATTAAAAAATAGTAGACATATTGAAAATAATTGAATTTTACCAAATTTTTTAAATTAATTAAATTTCTACGAAGATTTTTATGAAAATTATTTTGAAAAAAATTTTATTGTTACAAAGAATTTCATTATTTATGAAAATAATTCAATTTTTTGAAAATAAAAAATGTATTGAAAATAATATTTAAATTGTATTAAATAAATTGTAGCAAAATTGGTTAAAGTAATTGAATTTCTTTGCTGCAGCAAAGAATTTTAATAAAATTTTTAAGCATATAATTACATTTTTCGAGGAATTCTTATAAAATTGTATTGAAAATTAAAAATAATTGAAAGTCTGTGATGAGTTGTATGATGTATTTATGAAAATAATTGAATCCCCGTAAAAAAATGTTATTATTTATGAAAATCATTGAATAATAATATTTATGAAAATAATTTGTAAATAATTAAAAATAATTGAAATTCTTAGATGAGTTTTGTTATTTATGAAAATAATTAAATTCTTGCATAGAATTTTATCAAAAATTTTTTTAAATAATTGAATTTACATGAAAAATGTTATTAGGGAAAATAATTGAATTATTGCAAATAATAGATGAGTGCAAAGCCTGGTAGAAAGAAAAACTTGTTTATTTTTGATTAGAAAAAGGTGAAAAAGGAGACAAATTACCAAAAAAAAGGGGGGGGGGAGGTGACAAAATTAAAAAAAAGGGGATCTATGCCTGCAATTAATACTAAATCCGCTTCAAAATGTGTCAAATGGAATGTTAATATTATTTCAGAACAGTTACATTCAAAATTAGAGAAACATTAAACATTGGTAAAAATGTTTACCTACTGTTAAAAAAAATACAAAACATGTTCACTGGGTATTGTTGTCAATGATTCGCTGTAGACTTTTTCAAACCTCAATACTAATACAATATACCGGCATTTCTCAATGTATATGTAAAATTTTTGTAGTAAACATTCAAGAAGTAAAGCAAAATAAAAAATTCGAAAAACTATGCGCGAAATAAATAAGTTGATCAGTATAGGGATAAGAAATTGAATGAAGAAAGGCGTCGAAAAAGAGAGTAGAATTGAGAAAGAGAGAAATGGACTGATGTTTAGCTGTAAAAACGGAGAGGAGACGAGACAAGGCACAGCAAAGCAAAGCAAAGCAAAGAGAGGAGAAATAAACGTGGGTCTGCAGCAGAGAGACAAGCAGGCTGTTCGTGAACATTCGTAAGCATCCGGATGAAATCGGTACAGTGGAAGACTCTCTCGCTTTTGCCCGCTGCCAGCCTGCCATGACTGGTTCAAGGAGGTGCGCAATGGTCGGCATCAGAGAACAGACTCGAAGGGAAGCCGTCGCATAGAATCAAACGCTGTGATTGGTTGTCGCGTGGGAGAGCCGCCCGCCTAAGGTCCGCGACAGTGGCATCGGCAGTCAGCGCCGAGCACCCAGGGAATGTGCTTGAGATGAATCATTTTTCGCGACAAGTCCATGATGAGGTTTTTTAAAAGTAAATAATAAATAATGTTTCAGAAATTAAAAGGCAATTCCAATACCGGTGACAAGTGTAGGTGTCCCACCAAAATGTAGGTGCGAGAAAAAAATACGATACTCTCTAATAATTGAAACCATCAAGTTGTGTATTGGTGCTCAACTCCTTATCTCGTTGGTGGATCAAATAAAAATTCCAACAATAGTCACGTGCGAGAATTTAGTTGCTTACACTTTGTTGTTCAAGTGAATCTAGTGATGTTGTGTTGATGTGTTGAAATGGGGAAAAATGTTTTTATTAGTAACCATAGAGTGAATAGTCTTCGTTGACGAGATAAGAATAAGAGACTTGAACACAGCGGCCCATAATGCATATACACTTCTGAGTTGGTGTATTTGTACTAGGGTCTGCAGCACAGGCAGAGTCACAGAGTGCGAGCAAGACTGTGTTAACATGCAGACGTTCCAGATGGAGAATGTATATACACAGCGTATATGTGTTTGTCGAAAGTTGTATGTGAAGGCAGCTTGTCTTCTTGGGGCCTAAGTGTGCGTGAAAGAAGGTGCGCACCGCGTGCGGGTGCCAATGCAAATGCGCGAGCGCTCGCTATTTCGCACAGAGTGACAAAAACGAGTACTTGCTGAGCTATAGAGTACCTTCTGTCTGCGATAACAGCGGAAGCCAAGAGCCGAAGAAAAGGGCCGGAGGAGCACCAGTAACAAGAAGGTGAAAGTGGAAGAGATTGGGTGGGGAGGTATAGCTATATATATATATACATATACATAAATACGTGTGTAATCATGTGTATGTACAAATCAAACTTGCACCACATTAAAACACTCTGCAAACACGTACATATACAGATGTGTACACGCATTTGTACATATATATATTTATAAATAGACCCAAACCACATACTCGTCTCCCACAAGCCACTTTAATTTGCAAGGCGACAATCACTCGTTTGTCAATTATGCCACTCGTGAACAGTAGTGGTGGTGGTGGTGGTGATGATCTCGGCAGCGAAGATGAGGTCAAGGTCTTTAAGGATGAGGGTGAAGAAGAAAATAAAACTTCAGAGAATCTGACTGAGGAGAAGAGTTCCCTCATCGACCTTACGGAGTCTGAGGTGCTAATATTTAACAAGACCTAATCTTTTTCATATACCCTTTTTTATTTTTCATTCTTTAAAAGTTCCTTTTTAGAAATCGATGTGCGTGTCATATGTGTTACAGGAAAAAGGATCAATCGCTAGTGGAAGCTACTCAACGACATCCAAAACGCCGGCAAGGTCCGAACTGAGTCCTGTTTTCGGTGAGTATTCCATCTTTTACTTTATTCTTCAATTTTAGCCTATCCAACATTCCCTGACAGCATCCGGATGATCAGGATATCTTATGGATGTACTGGAGCTAACCACAGGTCCGGGGATATCCTAAGAGTGACCATGGTTATCCCTGGGTCATTCTATGAATATCCTTCTTTCCCTCCCAGGTGGAAAAGTTAAGGTTAGCAAAGGATATTAACGTTAAACTAACGTTAGTCTAACATTAGTTAACGTTAGCCTAACATTAATTAATGTTAGTCTAACGTTAGCCTAACATTAGTTAACGTTAGTATCATTAACTAACATTAACTAACGTTAACTTTTCCACCTGGGCTGTAACTATGGTAACCCGGATGCTATTAGAGACTTCACACATTCTGCTGAATATTCCACTGTAATATTTAAATGAATTTCCAAAAATAATTTCCTACGCATCCAAAGGTGTAAATTTAATATTCTACTAGGCTTCGAATGCCTATGAAACCCTGATAACAAACACGAATGTCTTCTGGATATCCATGGACATCCCCAGGCTATCCAAACTGCAGGGTTCGAACTAGGTCCGTAAATCCCGTAAAGATCCGTAAATTTACTTCAAGTCTGTAAAAATCACAGGGTGGACGCTGGACCGGGAAACTGGGAAATGACAAGGAATTCTTTTGGACTGAGAAAAACCGGGAAATGACAGTGAATTTTAATCTTGACCGGGATTTTGCAAAATTTAAAAAAAAAACAGTAATTATTTTGTGAGAAAAAATAGAAATTAATTATATTTTATTAAAAAAGATTGAATGATCTTCTATAAAATCGTTTTATTTTGTCTGGGAATTTTATCAAAAGTACTGGAAAAATATTCAATTTCTAGAATTTATAAGAAAATTATGAATTTTGTTGTCCAACGTAACAGACTTAAAAAAATATTAAATTTAATTTTAAATTCTTTCTATTTCTCAAAATGATTAAATAAAATATAATTTTAATTAAATTCGTCGAAAAAATTTCACATCCTATAAAATAGTGAAAAATAAAGCAATTTATAAATTTTTTTCAATAATATTATAACAAAACAAATTTGAATTATTAAAAATTTGAACTATTTAGAACAAAAATGGTACGAAATTTCTAAGAATTAAAATTTTTAAATTCTAAATAGAACGAGACATTAAAATTATCTTTGAAATTATTCAAAATTTCATGAAATTGTCTCATAAACTAGTATACTCTATAGAAAATAATTGAATTTAAATGTTGAAAATAATTTTTAATACGTTACAGTAACAATCCTTAACAATTATTCGATTTTAAAGGATATGAAATTTTTATTTTTTTTCGAAATCTTAATACCTATGGAAAAATAATGGATAATAATTAAATATTTATTTTAAAAAATCTATTTAAGTTTCAAATGATTTTACATTTAAAGATATTTAAAAAAATGTATTATAAACATATTTTGGAGTTTCAATTATTTTTAGAGAAAACTAAAATATTTTTAAGGTTTGGAAGAAGTCAATAGTCTAAAAATCAGGAAATTCTTTTACTCTTTCATGGAATAATTTATTTTCAGAGTTATTCTTTATGACCGGAAAATGACCGTGAATTTTTTTTAATGAAAAAAATGGCCACCCTACTCAGTTTTTTTTTAAAGTTCGAAAGTCCGTAATTTGATTGAGAAAAGACAAAAAGTTCGTAAATTGTACGATATAATTTGGAGAATATTGGAGAAATTACAAATGATTGCAGAAATTCAATTATTTTCAAAAGTAATAAAATTATTCGTTAAAAAATTCAACTGTGTTCAAAAATAAAAAAAAAATTTTTTTCTTCAAAATTTTAATTTTCTTTAGAAATAATTAAATTCTTCTACGAAATTTAATTATTTTCAAAAATTTTAATAAAATTCTTGTCGGAATTTCAATTATTTTCATATATTTTCCCCAATTCAATGATTTTTAATATTTATACTATTTCAATAAATTTTTCCAAAAGAATTCAATTGTTTAATAAAGTTTTTATAAAATTCCACGCAAACCTTTCATTATTTTTATAAAATAATAAAAATTTTACGGGAATTTAATGTATTTACCAAATTTTTTACCAAGTTGAAGTCCACAACGTTGACCAACGAAAAAAATTGTTTACTTAGTAAATTAATTAAAAATACGCAGCAATATTGACACAAAAATATTTAGAAAAAAAAGATTGATGTTTCTATTTTGATAATAATTATTTTACAATTAAATTTTAAATTAAAAATAATACTTGAATGTATTAAATAAATTTTTTTCGTTGATAATCGTTGTGGACTTCAACTTCGTAATTTTTTATAAATTTCTTCGTATTAATTCAATTATTTTCATTAAGTAATAAAGTTTTTGTAGGAATTCAATTATTTTTGTAAATAATAAAATTCTTTTTATGAATTCAATATTATTTTCATCATAAATAATAAAAAAACTCATTTGCAGAATTTAAATTATTTTTAAAAACAATTTTAATCAAATTCCTCGAAAAATGTAATTATTCTTAAAAATTTAATTAAAATTCGTCAAAAGAACTCAATTATTTAAATAAATGAATTCTAGTAGAATTTTCTAAAAAAATTAATTTAAGAATGGATTTCAGTAAAAATGTTAGATTATTATAATTGAATATTAAAAGCATTAGAGCGTGGATTTTTAGAAATAATTGAATTTTGAGAAGGTTTCAAATTAAAATCTTTGAAAATATGAATTTTTTATATTTTTAACTAACAATTCTGTGAAATTAATTTTTTTAAGATAGTTTAATTGCGGATTTTTTAAAAATTATTTCAAGTTTTTATTTTTTAAAATCTATATATTTAATTGAAAAATTTACGAATAATTGAAATATCGTATAATTGAATATTGTAAACAAATAGATTTTAGAATTGTCAAAAAACTTTTTCGAAAATTATGGAAAGTACTTAATCGATATTTTAAAATTTTATTTTTTACATATTTTTAAATACTTTCATTGGTTCGAGCCCTGAAACTGCCGCAAGCAAATGAATATAAGGACATCCTGAAGTGTCCGGTACTAAGAGGGAGAGAAAATGGGATAAAGATAAGACCGCGATAATTCTGTCTTAGTTCCATTTCATTTGAAAGAAAAGAACAACGTTGAAAAAACAAAAACCCCCTAAAAAAAATACTTAAAAGGAATATATAAAAGAAATGACCAATGAATTTAAAACAAAAGCGAATAAGACAGAAGGTCAAAATTTAAAGCGAATGTTATAAAAACAAAATAACCTAAAGAGAAATTAAAAAAAGCAAAAGTCTTGTGGAAAATGAGAAACCATAAATTGTAAGTTTAATTTAAAAATTATTTTTTATTTTCGTAATATGATGTCAAAATAAAAAAAATTGATTTGAATAAAGCAAAAAGAGCGCTATTTGAAAACGGAACAAAAAATAAGGAACTTAAAAGAAGAAGAAAAAAGAGAACAAATACATTTGAAAATTGAGAGAAAGAATTAAAAAGAATATATAGAATTAAGAATAAGTGAACAGAAGCAACGAAGCAGGCGACCACATAGCGGACGTCTGAGGCGCTAGTGAATCAAAACAAAAGATTTCGTTCACATGCAAGTTCAGATTACAGAGCGTTAAGAACACGCTGAATTAATGAATATATATATATATATACTGACGTTTTTTAAGGGGTTAAGTTTAGGTAGAATTTTTTTTTCATTTTTGAAAACTATGACTCATTAAAAAATATTTCCTGAAAGATTTAAGTCGATTCTGAGTTTAGGTATAGGGAGAGAGAGATACAGAATCTTGACGGTCACTCCTTTTCATTGTTCGACACAGAAACTTTAAACGAGTCTTTCTCGATACGACATTTTTCAAGTAGGTAGGTTTCATTACTTGAAAACTATAAACACTTGATGGTTTCTCAAAATCTCGATAACACAGGCAAACAAAAATGTAATTTTATTTTAAATAAATAATTTAATATAGTGAAATTTCAATTGATAAATCAAAAAAGTTGTAAACTTAAAATTAAGTCAAGTGCAGTTTTAAATAAATAAATTAAAACAGTTAAATTATATTAATAAATGAACCTAATATAAACGAAAATCCATAATTCCATGAGGCAAAATGATATTCAAAATCTAATAAGAATTACATGCACATCAGGTGTAGAAATATTAATTATGATTTGAAATTCAATTAAATTATAGTTTTAATTTTCATCATTACTCTTTGGTATCAATTACATGAAATGATTAATATTTTATCAATTGAAATGTTCAATAGATTAATGAAATATTAAATAAATTTCAGTTTTTTAACAATTAAAGTTAACAATTAGATACATATATATTTTATATTTATGTGAAAGTCCGCAGCATGTTTTGAAACATTCCCATCCAATTACTTGAAACCTATTTGAAATTTAGAAAATTGATATTTTTTTCGATTTATTTTCAAACATTGTAACTTTTTCGACGTTTCTTCCAAATCTCAAAACAAAATATATTTTTTAATATTAAATGTAACTCATTTCGATTTTTATAGTGCAAAAAATAACTATAACCAAATCTTTAAAAAATTATTTTTGAATCATTTTGATATTTAAATTTTCGAAATATACAATTAAAAAGATATTGAATAATTGGAATTTAGTAAAATTTAATTGAAAATAATTAATTTTTTTCAAGTATTTTGTTAGAATTTTTGAAAATCAACTTTTGAAGAATTTTAATTGCAAAATTTCAAAATAATTGAATTATTAAAAATTTTTAATGAATAATCTTTAAACACAAATTTAAAAAATGTAAATTAATGAAAATTAGCTTTTAATTTTTTTAAATTTAGTATTTTTAGTACCTACTTTCAATTACATATTTCTGAAAATTTAAATACGTACAAAAAATTAAAAACATTTTATAATTATTTTTAACACTTTGGAGAAAAAAATCATGTTCAAAATATTTCATTAAAAATCCTCAAAA